GTTCGAAGAATCTAGCGGATCGAGTCAAACGCGCTCCAGACTGGATTACTCTTTCGACCTCTTTTGTGATTTTTTTTCTCAGTGTTAGGCAGACTGTTTCGTACCAGAGATTTTACAGATATGTTTATCCATCTCACAAGCATGCACGGTATTTTTTTCACGGAAAAATATCAAAAATTGTGGGAGTTGTAGCTTCCTGATGTTCAAAGAATCTAGCGGATCGAGTCAAACGCGCTCCAGACTGGATTACTCTTTCGACCTCTTTTGTGATTTTTTTTCTCAGTGTTAGGCAGACTGTTTCGTACCAGAGATTTTACAGATATGTTTGTCCATCTCACAAGCATGCACGGTATTTTTTTCACGGAAAAATATCAAAAATTGTGGGAGTTGTAGCTTCCTGATGTTTGAAGAATCTAGCGGATCGAGTCAAACCGTTTCCAGACTGGGTTACTCTTTCGACCTCTTTTGTGATTTTTTTTCTCAGTGTTAGGCAGACTGTTTCGTACCAGAGATTTTACAGATATGTTTGTCCATCTCACAAGCATGCACAGTATTTTTTTCATGGAAAAATATCAAAAATTGTGGGAGTTGTAGCTTCTTGATGTTCGAAGAATCTAGCGGATCGAGTCAAACCGTCTCCAGACTGGATTACTCTTTCGACCTCTTTTGAGATTTTTTTTCTCAGTGTTAGGCAGACTGTTTCGTACCAGAGATTTTACAGATATGTTTATTCATCTCACAAGCATGCACGGTATTTTTTTCACGGAAAAATATCAAAAATTGTGGGAGTTGTAGCTTCTTGATGTTCGAAGAATCTAGCGGATCGAGTCAAACGCGCTCCAGACTGGATTACTCTTTCGACCACTTTTGTGATTTTTTTTCTCAGTGTTAGGCAGACTGTTTCGTACCAGAGATTTTACAGATATGTTTATTCAACTTACAAGCATGCACGGTATTTTTTTCACGGAAAAATATCAAAAATTGTGGGAGTTGTAGCTTCCTGATGTTCGAAGAATCTAGCGGACGGAATCGACTTGAAATTTGGAGAGAATGTTCAGCAAACACGCCTGGAATCGCTTGGGAGTAGAGATTTCTAAAAATATTGACTTTTACTATTTCGTTTTAATACGCTGAAGACGGGAGGAAGGTCGAAAAGTAGAAATTGGACACTCCAAGTGGCGCCATTCCTTTGCTTATCGAGACTTTGACTTCTCCTTAGTTTCTGCTATAACTACAGCATTTGCAATTAAGATAATTTAACCCCCTCTGTTTCTGATAAACATTGGAACTGTAGAAGTCAATGGAGCACCTTTCTTGGAACAGCCATTAAACATGAAATTGTTACTTCCATACTTTTAATATTTTTTAATGGAAAAAAATACTGTACATGCTTATGAAAGGGTCTACCTAACATTTAAAAAAAATCACGCCTGTTACATCCAATTGTGACTTTGGAAAACACTGTAGATCGAATTTACGTCATCTTTGGGGCACAACCTTCCTTTCCTGTGTTGAAACCAAGATAATAGCGTTATCTTCACTGCTTTTTTAGGTTGAGACGATCTGTTTACGTTTGTCAGATTCTCTTTAACACTAGATTTACGGAAGTCGTAAATTTGACGGATGTCTGATTCCATATTTAACAGAATTGTGACAGAATTTACCACTACGATACTAAAAAAATTAATTCTCAAGTTAAGACGTCGAGGGAAATAAATTTGAATAGAATTTGTGAATTTTAACAAGGTTACGAAAATAAGTACTGAAACAAATTTTAAATTATGTAGTTTACGATGGTTTAGAATCAAAATTGTACTTTTGCAGAATATTATACGGTTTTGATCTGGCAGTGAGCGTGTTAAAATTGCAGAACGCGTAAATATTATTTTTTAACAACTTATATTGAATTTGATCGATGCAATAGTAAGAATACATATTCTAATTAAAAGAAAAATCGTATTTTGAGGTAATCGTCAACATGAAAGGTATCGATAAATATACGAGCGATCAATGGCCGTAAATCTAGTGTTAAACGATTCTTTTCGGCGAAGATACGCCTTTTTGCGTGAAACGGGGATCCTTTAGCTCGATCGTGGAAAATGGCTGGCCGGAAAACGCGTATGTGGAACGCGTGGCCACCAAGAACGCGTTCGATTTCACCGTTCGCGTTCCAGGATTGTCAAAATGCTGCAAATCTCCTTTGCGCGCCGGAGCTTTCTATTCTGCTCGTCGGCGGAAACAGCCGAGTCACGATGAACGCGGATTAAATTCATCTTTTTCGTACGGCCGCCGACGTGTCTATCGAAATTAATTAAACGACGCGCCTCGATCGCTCCCGGTCGCCATTACGTTTACTCGGCTTCCGCCACTTCTCTTTTATTTGCAATTAGAAAATAAAACCATCGACCAGGAATTTCTCTCCAAGGTCCTCGCGATTGCCCAACTTTTACCGTGCATGAGAGATTTGGCCGTCCCGTATGCTCGTTTTCTATCGAAACTCGCAAAACAATATTTAAAACATTTGTTGGAATTTTATGAAAAATCTTGTTTGATTTTTATTTATTTTTTTTATTACTTCTTGGATCTTTTTACGAGCTCTATTTTGCTACAACTGTGTATTTAAACTTTTAAAATTACCTTCGTAATTATTTATTTAATTATAGTTATTTTTATTATCGTGTTCTACTATTAATCGAGTTTCATGCTGCAATTTAAAGGAACATTTTAAACGTATAATGGAATTTTATGAAAAATAGCAAGCTTGTTTGATTTTTATTACTTTTTGGATTTTTTTACGAGCTTTGACACAATATCTATTTATTTCAAATTTGTATACCTTGATGTTAGTATCTTTAGAGTTTAAGAAATCTCCTGGTCTGACAAATTTTCTTTGTTTTCTATTAAATTAGAAATTTTGTTATCGTCAATTTTTTAAATATCGAACGAGACAAACTTATGGGACCACCCTGGGAAAAATTTTAATGGGGGATTCTAGAGGCCAAAATAAGACGAAAATCAAGAATACCAATTTGTTGATGGAGGCTTCGTTAAAAAGTTATTAACATTTAAAGTTCCGCCGGTTACTGAATTTTTTTCTCAAAAATGCGCAGGATTTCGTGGGTATGTCTATTCACCAAAAATTATTGTAATTAACACCTGCAATCGAATATAATTTTTCCAAAATGATTTCAAATTTTTTAATTTACTAAAAAATTTCACCACCTTCCTGAATTTTTTTCTCGAAACTGGGTAGTATTACGAGGGTATGTGTATTAATAAAAAATTATTGTAATTAACCCCTGTAATCGAATATAATTTTTCCAGAACGATTTGAAATTTTTTTTTTCGTCGAAAAATTTAGTCATCTTCTCGAATTTTTTCCTTGAAAACGCGTAGGATTTCGGGGGTATGTCTATTCACCAAAAATTATTGTAATTAACACCTGCAATCGAATATAATTTTTCCAAAAAGATTTGAAAATTTTTAATTTTGCTAAAAAATTTCACCATCTTCATGAATTTTTTTCTTGAAAATGGATAGGATTTCGGGGGTGTGTCTATTTACCAAAAATGATTGTAATCGACCCCCGTAATGGAAAATAATTTTTTTAAAACGATTTGAAATTTTTTTTTCGGTCGAAAAATTTAGTCATCTTCTCGAATTTTTTCCTTGAAAACGCGTAGGATTTCGGGGGTATGTCTATTCACCAAAAATTATTGTAATTAACACCTGCAATCGAATATAATTTTTCCAAAAAGATTTGAAAATTTTTAATTTTGCTAAAAAATTTCACCATCTTCATGAATTTTTTTCTTGAAAATGGATAGGATTTCGGGGGTGTGTCTATTTACCAAAAATGATTGTAATCGACCCCCGTAATGGAAAATAATTTTTTTAAAACGATTTGAAATTTTTTTTTCGGTCGAAAAATTTAGTCATCTTCTCGAATTTTTTCCTTGAAAACGCGTAGGATTTCGGGGGTATGTATATTCACCAAAAATTATTGTAATTGACCCCTGCAATCGAATATAATTTTTCCAAAATGATTTGAAATTTTTTAATTTGCTAAAAAATTTCACCACCTTCTTGAATTTTTTTCTTGAAAATGGATAGGATTTCGAGGGTGTGTTTATTCACCAAAAATTATTGTAATTGACCCCAGCAACCGAATATAATTTTTCCACAACGATTTGGAATTTCTTAATTTAATTGTTAATAACTTTTTAACGAAGCCTCAATTAACAAATCGATATTCTTAATTTTCGTCTTAATACGTTTAAAATTCCCCAGACTGACAAATTTCGTTTGTTCTCTATTAAATTATAAACTTTATCCTCGTCAATTTCAGAACATCGAATCTGATACTCGATTTATTCAACTTTTCATTTCTTTGCGATTACAAAACAAACGAAGAATTTCTCCACGACGTCCTCTCGATTGCCTAATTTTTACCGTGTCTCACAAATTACACAGTGGTGTATAATATAATATCTCTTGCGATATTTTTCTATTATTTTAGTATTATTCCCTAAAAAATAGTACCAATAATGTTGATCTAGATCCTTCCGTGAAGGAGCCACGCGCGATCCCGTGGATCGAACGGGGGATTCACAGGTTACGGAACACCCGACGATTTCGATCGATCGTCGAGCCACGCTGACCGTGTCGATTAAGATCACGATTTAGCCATCGGCGCTTTCGAATTTCCTGCGGCGAGTCCGGCTTTGGTAATATCGCGCTGGTTTCTCGCTTTTCAACGGAAGCGAAGGGAGCACCGGAGCGTTCGACTAATGGTCAGCTTACGCGATCGAACACGTTCTGTTTTCGCCGAACGATCTCGTATATCTCGTATATATCGCGTCAAAAGCGCGTGTTCGTCGATCTTCGAAGACCCTCGATAAGTCATTGCAAACTCAAAGGATCGAAGGATGAGATTTCCCCGTTACGATGGATCCTTCCCACGAGGATCTCGTTTCCCCACCCCCTACGAAACCGCGTACCTTCGACTTGGGCCTTGGACACCTCGTGGAATCCTGTGGTCGGCGATGTCGTGGACGCCCGTTCACGCTTCTTCGTGTCGATCACTAATCCTCTAAGTGTAATCCTGGCAATGGACGGACGTCATCGAGAGTGGACTGTCGACCGGTTCGGGCATCGGTCCTCGGATCGAACTAGCTCACGGAACGGAGCAGCAGAGTGGGCTTTTCTGTGAAAATGTTCACAGAAGCGAGATCTAGGCACAAGCACAACGGCGAGTCGAGGATACGGGGAAGCACCGGAGCGCGTCTCGATCGTCCAGGTGAGGACGCGTTACGCCGAGGAGAGGGCTCTCGTGGTTCGTGACGCGGGTTACGGTTTCGGTGTCGTGTCCACCGCGACTTTCGAGTCCTGACGCGAGACTGAAGCGATCGGAGGCGAGCAGAATCGAGCCCGTGAGTCCGCTCGAGGCTGCCAACGTCATTCTCTCTCTCTCTTTCTCTTCGAGTGGAGTCGCCGTTCCACCACCTCCCTCCCCACCGTGCTCGTTTCGTCTTCGTTCCACCGAACGAGCTTTCTTTATTGCGTTGCCAGAGTCCACAGTGTCTACCTCCACCTGTCGTCCTTCCCGAGTCGGTTCCTCGGTTGTTCGCCGCTCTTCTCAGCGACCCGTGGATCCTCGCCCCTTTCTTCGCGCGATCGTTTTAGGTTACGACGACCATTCGCGAACTTTAAGCCGATTCCGCGAGAATTCCGACGGGTTTCTTCAGGTGATGCGCTCGGGCGGGGGGGAACTCCCCGTTTGCTTTTGTTCGACGAGGAGAATCCGCGGGATCGGAGACACGTTGTTGTTGCGAATGTTTTTAGCTATTGGAAAATCACGTTGAAGTGTATTTTCGTTCGAAGGTTGGGCAGAGCGAATATATTCATTTGCGATAGGCAATTAGTAAATTGATTAGCTACGTTACAAAAATCACCTCCAGTAATGAAACATAGGGTGTTCGAGCATTTCTGGGAAAAGATTTTAATGGGAGATTCTGGAGGCCAAAATAAGACGAAAATCAAGAATATTCATTTCTTGATTGAGGCTTCGTTGAAAAATTATTAAAAAATTAAATTACAAATATTTCAAATCATTTGGGAAAAATTATTTTTAGTTGCGGGGATCAATTACAATTATTTTTGGTCAATAGACATACCCTCAAAATTCTACGCATTTTCGAGAAAAAAATTCAGGAAATGCAGAAATTTTTCGGCGAAATTAAAAAGTTTCAAATCATTCTGGAAAAATTATTTTCTATTCCAGGGGTCAATTTCAATCATTTCTGGTGAATAGACATACCCCCGAAATCCTACGCGTTTTCGAGAAAGAAATTCGAGTAGATGGACCAATTTTTCAACAAAATTAAAAAATTTAAAATTGTTCTGGAAAAATTATTTTCTATTCCAGGGGTTAATTTTAATCATTTTTGGTGAATAGAGGCACCCTCGAAATCCCACGCACTTTCGAGAAAAAAATTCGAATAGGTGGACCAATTTTTCAACAAAATTAAAAAATTCCAAATCATTCTGCAAAAATTATATTCGGTCGTGGGGTTCAATTACAATAATTTTTGGTCATGAGACATACCCTCAATATCTTCCCACTTTCGAGAAAAAAAATTGGGAAAAATGTGCAATTCTTCGACAAAATTAAAAAATTTCAAATCGTTCTAAAAAAATTATTTTTAGTTACAAGGGTCAATTTCAATCATTTTTGGTAAATAGACATACCCCGGAATTCCTATTCATTTTCGAGAAAAAAATTCCTAACCGAAAATATCATGTCTGGCCCAGAAATTGTTCCCCGAAATTTCATCCGCATCTTTAAAACATCATAACTTCTGAACAGATTAGACGATTTTCATTTTTAAAAATGCCAACGACGCGTATTTTAATCAAGAATATGTAGAAATTCGAAAAATATTGGAAAAGTTGCTCCTTAACCACGTAAATTGAGAAAAGCCCCATAAAAATTGTGCTATTTTCCACCAAACTATAACTCCTATAATAGTGAATATATTTCAATGAAACTTTTTTCTGAAGTAGAGCACATGGGTACCTACAATAAAGTATTAGACAATTTTTCTGTAGAGCGTCAAACAAATTCATTAAAAATGAAAAACTAATTTTTAAGAAAAATCGACAGGGGGTAGGTGTCCAAATTTTCCGACGAAGAAAAAAAATTTCAAATCGTCCTGAAAAAATTATTTTCGTTTGGGGGGATCAATTACAATCATTTTTGGTCATGAGAGATACCCTCAAAATCCCACCCTCTTTCGAGAAAAAAAATCGAGAAAGTGTGAAATTTTTCGATAAAATTAAAAAATTTCAAATCGTTCTATAAAAATTATTGCTAGTTACAAGGGTCAATTACAATCATTTTTGATGAATAGACATACCCCCGAATTCCTACCCACTTTCGAGAAAAAAATTCGACTAGGTGGACAAATTTTTCGACAAAATTAAAAAATTTCAAATCGTTCTAAAAAAATTATTGTTAGTTACTAGGGTCAATTACAATCATTTTTGGTGGATAGGAATACCCCCGAAATCCTACTCACTTTCGAGAAAAAAAATTCTTTACCGGAAATATACCGTGTGGCCAGAAATGTTTCCCCAAAATTTCGTTTCATTCGTTTCCTGTTTTGGCCAAGGGTTCTACGAACTCAAGGTGTTTGTTATACAAAGATAAGAGGCAAACCTCTCTTCACTTCGTCGTTTCTTCGCGTTTTTCGATGATCTAAATATTCACACAGTTAAATATTAAAATTTGATGCGATCATTGCCCTACAATTCATAAAACAAAAATCACGTCCGCCTCTTAGGAAGTTTTCCATCCATTCCAAACCGCCTTAAAGTATATATTTCTTGTTGCACGTTATACAGGAGGAATCGAGATCAATTTTTCATGCAAAGCGTCTGGGTCGCGTCATCGCGAGGCGGTGATACGGAAACGTCTGGCCACGTAACGAACGAAGACACGCCGTAACGACACCGATTATTATAATTGCAAAATCTCCGTGGTCGTCCCTACTGCGTTATTCAGCGCGTATTCCCGATTAACATGCATATATTTCGCCCGCCTATAGATCGCGATCGTTCGAATCCACGACTCCGCGATCTTGCGTAACCGTAACGATGCGTCGCGTCGATCATCGACGATCTACGGATTCGATCCACCACGAACTGTCTCTCTCGTCCGTTTAAGACTCGATCGAAGACACGAAACCTTTAAAAAACGTATTCCCAAATTCGTAATCGTTTCACGCGGCCACGAGTGTAACGTGGTCGATTCCTACTTTCTTTTACCGGAAATCGGCAGGTCTGGACGACTATAATTTTCCCAGCAATCGTTTGGACGTTAATGATTGACTACTCGAACTGTCCAAACGGTTCTAGATCATTTATCGTCAACGAACCCGAGAAATATGGCTGAAACGTTTGTGAAAGATACGCGAGTTTCTGTCTGAATCGAAGATGAGCAGAAACTACTCCTTTGACGTACTATTTCCTCAAAGTGTATCTTTAATCTGTAACGAAGCCTCGTGCTAATTAATGAGCCCTTTACTTTGAAAGTGGCGTAAGTCCATTTTCCAAAAAAATCGAGTTACCTTAATAGTTACATTTTTACATGATCTTTTCATTCTGAAGCAACTTGTTACTATTATTTTTACAATCATTAAGATTTTATTTTGAAAGTGGCGTAAGACTAATCGTAGCCATCGAAAGCATATTATTTCTTAAATAACGTTAATTATGCTAACTGGGATGATAAATTCGACACCCTTGGAAACCCAAAAAAACATTATTCTACCATCTGTTGCCCATATTTTTAAATTTAATCCAACACAAACCCTTCAATATCTCGATTTTAACATAGATGGACTTATGCTACTTTCAAAACAAACTGGTCAAATGTGTGTCGCTAATAGTCGAGTTTTGTTCATTTGCATCCCCCAAATTCCCACATTTAGATGTCCTCTAAGGGCCAACAACGATATTATAGTTTCAAAGTGGTTATACAGAACAAAATACACAAACAGAGATAATTACTATCATATGTATTTCGTGAGAAAGTGTGTTTATGTTAGTCATAGGTGGTCCAGTAGAAGAAAAGTCTCCGAAGGGCTATTAACTCGGTGTTTTCTCGTTCCAATTTCTATTACTTAGATCCCAATGATTCCGATTCGCTGTTAACGCGTTTGAAACGGTTTGTCTGGTAAGGCTTCGGTCGTGACAGTGCACGGTTTTTGCAACGTGGAAGCGTTTTTTTTTTTTTTTAGCAATTAGCATCCTTGGCGATCTCACGCGCGTTTCAAGCTCTTTTCGTCCTTGCTCGACGCGTTCAAGGAAAAGAAGCGCGTCACGGTTTTGCTACAATTCTCGCGACTCGCAACTGCGTCAATTCTTACCAACGAATGGTGCTTTAGGCTGATTTTTCATTACGTTTTTTTTTTACTATCGTTCGATAATTATTCGTTACGGTTTTTTAGAATCATTTGATAATTGTGTTGTTTCTCATTTTGGTCACCTTTTCGTAAAGAGTATTTAGTCCAAAAAATAAATAAATAAATCATTGATAGCTTGTAATTGTGTTGTTTCTTATTTTGGTCAGCTTTTCGTAAAAAGTATTTATTCATTCAAAAAATAAATAAATAAATCATTGATAGCTTGTAATTGTGTTGTTTCTCATTTTGGTCACCTTTTCGTAAAGAGTATTTAGTCCAAAAAAGAAATAAATAAATAATTGATAGCTTGTAAACGAATTATAGCTCGATTAACGAATAATTAACAACAATAACAGTGTATTTATTTGTATCGAAGAAATGTATAATGCAATGAAAAGTAATGTTTATTCGTTCCCTTAAAGAAAAGTAGGGTAAATTTTCAAAAATCCAGTCGAGTGGATTTGTAAGAATTTTTGTTAGAAATTACGAATGCCAGTCCATGTTTGTAGCATTTTTATTATCGTCATTTGGTAGCCTTATATCGATTGTCTTCTACTGCTTTGCACAGTAACGAAGCTTCCCCCGTTTATCGAATGAATAAATATAAATCCAACAGTTTCCTTGTGCGTTCCGTGAACATATGCTTCGAGAATAGCTTCGAGACGCCTGAAACGGAAAGTGATTCCATCGAAGCGATGACATTAAGAAGCATCGGTATGTTGGCGAGCGAGAAAGAGAGAGAGAACCGAGAATAGAGAATTCGTCGAAAGTTTTCTACGTTGCTTACCACACACAGTGTTTCGTCCAATGGGCAGAAATAAACAAATTAATATCTATAAATGACTTATCAGTAGCTTAAGATATTCATGAAGATACATACATCGCGATACTTCGTTTTTTGGGGAATTTACTAGTTTGTAATTGAAAATGGTGCTTCAAATCGATGCA